CCATGGCCCCGAGCCCCAGGCGACGACGGCGCAGACGCAGATGCCAGCGAGGCGTCAGGTCGAAAGCGCAAGCTGGAGACGTCCCAAGAGGCCTTGGAGGGTTTAGGGCCGGGATGTTAAGGGTGTTTTTAGGACTGAGAGGGCTGTAAAGGGCTCGGGGAATTGAGGGCTTCAGGGCTTTTAAGGTTTTTGGGGCATTATGGGCTTCTGGGTTTTAGCCTATTAGGGGCTTACGTGACATGGCTCCGCAGCAGTTCCTGTCGATGCTCTGAAGCCTAAGCCAGACTCCTGCAGTGGGCATCACTTTGATCCATTTGGGGGTGGTTTTCGAATTTTGGGGTCCCTATTTTAAGGCGGCACTCTTAGAAAGGGATCCCCAAAAAGGGACCCTAGTTTAGAGAACTACCCAAGTTGATTTAAGTTGTTCCTCTTCAGTTGTCCAGTTTTATCGGTACTACATATCGCGGCTTACGATAATAATAGGCCCCTAAGAAAAAGACCCCCCAAATAGTAGGATCCCCGTATAATAAGGACCCCAATAAGGTACCCCTAGTATCGTAAACTCCCAAGTGCATATGAAACAGGGTTTACATTTCTGTTATTGGTGAGTGTATATAAGGTTCCTGTTTAATTGTATATACTGGGTGTCCTTTTGGGGATATACATAGGGCATGCACTTTGTTCTTTCCTTTGATGTCACTGCTCGGGACGGCTTCTGTATACCGTGCCACTTGAGATGTCCAAACTTTTCACAGTTTCTCGTCAACTTTCATCGGAGACAATGTGTTCCGCATGCTCTCGTTTCATGTGTTAATGAAGTCCGCTCGGTCCTCTTGATGCTCGTGAAGGACTTGGAGCGGCTTCGTGGTGTGCTTTAGATTTTCGCTTCTTGCTCGGACAGCTCTTCGGAGACTCCAGGGATACACGGAATATAAACCCCACTTCATATACATCCATACAAGATGGTTTCTTTCGACCCCTGGAAAGCAGGACGCCGCAAGCACTCGCAGCGGCGTAGTGCTACAGGCCAGCTTGGGAGTGCAGAGTTTCGGGTTGGGATGTTCCCCCTGCTACTGACAGTCCTTAATAGGGATGAAAGTACCCTTCATTGCAATCCCCAAAGACTGTCAGCATGAGGGGGACCATCCCAAGTTTAGGGTTTAGGGTTAGGTTTGGGAGCCCTCGACTGCATCCCAGTTATCTGCCCGGAATCTAGTTTTCTGCAGGTTCCATTCGTAAAGTCCTTTGTTGGAATCTTCGGCAACCTGCAACAAAGACCCGTGGCTTCTTCAAGGTAGGGTCAACAATCTGAACAAACCGAAAGCCTCATCCATGAAGGTGGTGGATGGCGTGGGAGCCTTAGTTAGTTCCATACGACGATGTGAGAGCAAGTTTTTGGGGTTTCATCGCACCGCATAAACCTTCTTGCGACTCCGGAAGCGTCGCATCGCAAGCCTTGTCAATCCCTTCTAGAATTCTGGGAGCTCGCTCGAAAAAGGTTCCTGTGGTGTCTCTCGAGCGGGGATGCGACATGGCCGTGACCTCGGATACGTGGATGCTTGGAGTCAGAACCTTCGTGGGCTCCTTTCCCCGGATGCTCCTAGAATGCTCGCACCACTTGAAATGATGATTGGCCATGGTGGGAGGGCCAGTGTGCAAACAAGGGGACCCAAATTGACTAGGAGTTGAAAATTAGGGTCAGGCCCCACGCCTCATGCCTGCCAGAAGCAGAAGAATCAGAAGAGGCAGAAGAGCACCACGAAGTTGCAGAAACTAGCAAGCCCGCATACCGCACTCAGCGCCCAGCAGACCGCAACTGTAACCCAAATCCCACAAAACTACTTGAAACCGTGCACGAGAGGCCATCATTTTCCATCCCATGCTGCTAAGCCCTGGGATAGCACCCCTTTAAAAATACCCTAAGCCCTCAGTCCTGGCTTCGCTGAATCCAAGGATTCGAACGCTGCGCCCCTCTTGCAAGCCGCCCTGGAGAACCACGCCAGGGCTCGCTGCTCTGCTGTTCTTGATATGGCTCTTTATCAGAAAAAACTCATCATCATTATTGTTTTTTTGTCAATCTTAGAAGTATGATTATTACTATTCTTATTGTTATTGCTGTTGTTTACTATTGTGATTCGGTATTGTTATTATTCTTGTTCTTGTTGTTTTCGTTACTTGTCGTTACGGCAGTGCAGTTCATGGGCCATTCCGGAAGTTGCACCTTGCGTGACGCATCCCGAAAGAGAAGTTGCCAGGCGGAGAGTCTGTACGAACAATGTGACAGCCTGCCGGAGGCGGAGAAAGGAGCTGTGAGCTTTCTGTAGATCGAGCTGTTTGGGAACCAGAGCCACCGTAAGCACAAACTTGGGATGTCCCCTTATATTAACAGTCCTTAAGAGGATTAATCCCCATTAAGGGCTGTTAGCATAAGGGGGAACATCCCAACCCCAAACACTAAACCCTGAACTTCTGAGCCCAGCCCACCAAGCAGATGAAGCAGGCCAAGAACATCGCCCACGCAGCGCGACGGCGGGGCATCGTCGCAGCCTCGCTCATCGGCATGTCGAAGCTTCTGCTTCTCAGGTTTCGAACGTGGCCAGGCACCGTACTTTCCAAAGTCTGGCCCGGGGGGGGGTGGTAGGAGTTACGGTTTAGGGTTTAGGGTTTAGGGTGCGGGGTCAAGCAAATCGGAAGCCCTAGCCACGATTCGGAAACCTGGGGGGGATGGTCAGGCAATCCTAAGCCCCCTAAACCCCCACCCTAGAAACGCTGACCATGATGGCAAGAAATCATCCCTTAAGCAAAGCCCCCTTCTTCTTTGTGCTCAGGTTAAACGATTCTCCGACATCGGCATCGCAAGAGTCCGTTCGAATGAGGCCTTCAACAGACAGCTACAGACTTCGGGAGGGTTTAGGGCTTAGGGGGCCAACAAAAACCAAAGCCCTTGCGCCAGCAGCACCGGGACTGCTTCGCGGCGGGGCTGCAAGGCAAGCGGTCCCTCATGCTCGCAGGGGGCCCCAGAAATCCGCCCAAGCAGATTCGTGAGTGAGTCAGCAGGGAGTGAGGAAGTGTAAGTTATCAGCGACGACCATGCACCCCCGGTTCCGCAAAAGTCACCACCCGACGAGTGCTCGGACCCACTCACGACTTGTAACAGGACATACTGTTATGCCTTCAGAGAGGACAGGGCGATGCTCGGGGTAGCTTGCTCCGCTGGATGAGGGGGGGAAGGGGGGGGGGGGTGCCCAAGCGGAGTCCTTTTGACGCCCACACAAGTTGCGTGTCTTTGGACCTGCAAATCTCTGGGTATACCTTAGATGTATCTAGGTGCCTCCTTGAGCCAGCTGCTTTCAGGTGCTCACATTAGTCTCAGTTGAATCTGTTGAACGTGTACCAAGTACCCTGTAATGACTGTAGTGACTGTGTGGTGCTTTTTGGCGCCGTGAAATCGCAAAGGCTCTGGCTATGGCCCTCTGCAGCCGGGATGCTGTTTGCCTCCGGCGATGTGAGCTCCTGAGCACAGAGGCTGCGTGCCTGCGTCGTGTGTCCCGAAGCCGCTTGCCCTTCGACCCTCGACGCCTGCATAGCCTTCAGAGACCTGCAGTGCGCCGAGCCAGCTCATGCTCATCATCCCTGGGTCCGATCTTAAACGTTCAAAAGCCTGCCGATCTGTCTTCGACCTTCCCAAAGACGTGTCTTATTCCACGCGCGGCCTCATGCTACTCGCGTAGCTAGATTGCAGACCACGGCTCTGCCCTCTGCAAAAGCTTCCAGCTGCAAGGACCCCGCTCGGCCAAAAAGCAGACCCTAGAAACCCTAAGATCCCTTCTGAGCCTATAAAGCCCCAACATGTCCATCACTAAGGTCTCGCGTTCCTCAGGCCGCATCAGCTCGTGGAGCTCTTCAGCAGGCTCCTTCCGATGGTCGCTTTCGCTTTCCACTGCCGTGAGCTCTGGCAGCTGCTGCAGAAGCTTTTGGATCGCCGATTTCCCGTTTCCCCCCCCCCCCTGGCCCCCGAAGGTAGAACTTACAACCAGAACCGCCAAATGAGATACAGCTGGGCATGAACAAGGTCTCCAAAAACGGGCGAAATTATAACTGTAACCGTCTGCTACATTAATCAAACAGAGCAGGGATACATAAGACCCCAACATGAATACGATTCTGAAGGCTTCCCGAAATGCTGGCTGGAACTTAGCCCATCTCATCGTGCTTTAGGATATGCTGGGCAAAAGTACCTGAATTTCAGATCTTATGAGTTTTGCAGCTTTCTGTTTGTTTCGTCGGATGCGTATATGGTTGATACCCCAGGGTATCCTTAAACTAAGTGCCTAAACCCAAGTCTAAACTCGTACTCGCAAACCTGTCAACTCTGAGTAAACTCACAACTCCAGAGTCCCCCCCCACTCAACTTGAAAGAAGTTCTCCAATCAACCCCTCAACTTCCAAACCAAAAAACCCTCAACTTCCCTTTCTGGGGCTTCTTCAGTCGTAAATGTGGTGTTTTGGTTGTAACTGTAACTTTCTGGTTGTAAATGCCCTTCTTCTCCCCCCCCACCCCCCGCAAGCAGCACTTACCAACTCCCCCCCTCCCAGCTCCAGCAGGTTGATGACCGAGTCTGGGCTCCTGCAGCCACAGGAGCTGGAGCTCTGACATCGACGTACCGCCAAAGACTGCGGTTGTGCTCAGAGCTTTCAGACGAAAAGGCAGGCGCGGTATGGCGGGACAGTGGATGCTCTTTCAGAGATGCCAGAGATGTCCGGGTTCGGACCTGGAAGAAGCACCGGTGCACAGACGCTAATTAATCGGCACCTTGATATTCCTATACCGGGAGCTCTCATGAGGACGGGGGCTTGGATCAGTCCGACAAAGCTCGCATGACCTTGAGTCACTCTTGTCATCCAGTTTGTTCGAAAACAAGCCATTTGTGGGCTCCAGGACCAAGAGATCACAGGACTTGCTCTAGGCCACACGCCAAAAGCGTGCCTTGCCGTAGGCAATGGCTGCACCTGTTTCCAACGTGGCCGAGACGGAGATCCCGAACAGCGCGGCCGAATCGGATCAGATTACGAAGCAGGAGGAGGGCAAGACCAAGCAAGAAGATGTTGAGACGGGGAGAGGCGACATCTCGCCCGATCCAGAAAAGGTTATTTGTCCACTGGCCCTGCCCTGCAACCGTTGCAGTGCGATCTTCAGCCAGTACATCTTCTACGCCGGTGAGGTGGTCATCGTCGTTGCAAACCTTGTGTTCTTCATCGAGGGCCTATCTTCCCGACCTGAAATCTGGCTAGAGGGGCTGCCGGCTTCTGGAACAGCCATGCTCATGGGCTTCACAACGACAGCGACAATCTTCTTGGTACACAAGCTTGTGGGGCGATTTCGGGGAGAAGGGCTCAGAGCAGATGATCAAGTGCCAGACTGGCAGAAGCGGCTTCCAGCCGTCATTTTTAGTCACGAGCCTCTGAACACTCCGTGCCTAGTGGTCTTCGTTCCAATCTTCTACGTCTTCCTGGTGCTTTGCATCCTGCTTGGTGTCTGGACCTCTGCGTTGTCAGATGGTCTGCTCCACAGCGTCAACATCGGCGTGACCGCGGCGATTTTCTGTGCCGTGGCTCTCTTTGAGTTGCATCACACAGACTCCGAGGTAAAGAGGGTCCAGCCGGCGGCTTGCTGGGCCTTCTCGACCTTCTTACTTGCATTCTTGATGCTGGTGCCCGCTGTAGCATGGTGGCTGATTCTGCGTACCGCTTGCGGCCACGCATGCTGAGCCGACTCCGCAAAGGCACTTGCAAAGACGCCGTTCTGAGCACCGTAAAACCGTGCTTTTTTTGTTGTTTTAAGTGCCGGGAGGGCACCTGTCTCTCACAAAAGCAGTTCCACAGAGTGTGCCCTGCCTCGTGCATGCGTTCTAGCTTGCATGCCCCTGTTGCATGAGCCATGCGTGCTCTTGCTTCGGAGGGGATTTGCCCTGGAATCAAGTAGAACGCATATGGAGAGACAAATCCTACATCAGCGCTTGCTGGTACCTCAAGGGATGGGGATCCCCTGCTAGCAAACGAAACAGCGCCAAACTCTCGACTCCCTAAACCCTGACCCTAAACTGTCAAGACAAAATAGAAGTTGTGTGTCGATATCATTATTTATTCATTTCCAAGTTGTTTGTCTGCAGGAGCAGCGTCGGTCAAAAAACTCCGGCGCCAGCACGGAAAACTTTTTCAGTAAAACGGCACGGCTGAGTCAGAAAACGGCGCGGCCGAGTCAGAAAATGCAGAGGGCTCAGTCAGAGAACGGACACGCGCCCGGCGCCGTTTTTTTGGCTGCGCGCATCTGCATGCTTTTTCCGTGCTCTCCAAAGCTCCAATCTGAAGTCGGAAAGATTCAGAAAGCAAGCAAACAGGCGCATTCAGAAATCAGAAGCCTCGTGGGTAAAGCCTCTTGACACCGGACATGCTTTGCAAATCGGAATCTAGATGAGCTTCCAAACTTACCCTGCAGGAGCGAGGTGTATTGATCCTGAAGCCCTACTCCCTAAACCCTAAACCCAAGCGGAAACGCTATCCCCTCCTGAATTCCGAGCTCCTGTCATGCTGCGAGGGAGTTCATGCGAGTGGCCGAGCGCCGAAGTGACCCACCCCGAAACCCCAGACGGTTTAGGGGTAGGGTTTACGCCCCAAGCCCACCACTCCCAAACGACCGAGGGACATCCCCAAGGGATGCTCCATCCTATTACCCCATGAAATAAACGACACCGAAACGCTTGGGCAACGTTCCCTCCTTGGGGGGGAGGTATGCCATAGTGCCATCGAACAGAACGGTCTTGTACCCGTTGTACTGTCCAAACTGCAGCTGTGTTGACGGAACCCTACATGATCCGCCAGCACCAGCGAGCCAGCGTAGAACTTGCAGTAGAAGAGTTCAAGGCCTTGTTGCTACAAACACCTAAAGACTCCTAGGCTCTAAACCTTCATATGCATGGGCATGACTGGAAACCCCGCCCCCCCCCCCCTTCTGGCCACTCAGGTCCAAGAAGCGCGTGCGGCGAGGCGCCAGGCTGCGGCATCGCCCCTCGGCCCGGCAGTTAAAAAGCTATGGGGGTAGCGATGAAAAGCCAAGTGCTTGGGGATAAAGGGCATAGGGCAGGGCTTAAAAGAGGTTTCCGGAGGATCCTTGGCGCCACTTTCTTTCTTGCCCGACCCTGGACCCTAGACCCCACACCCTAAGCTCGGAGTTGAGGAGTTCGGCTTTCTGGTTTCAGGAGTTTAGGGTTTGGAGGAGGAAGTAGATGAACTACTAGTGAGAGCAGTAACGCTGGAAGTAGGTCGAGCTTTGTTTGTGTCGGCTAGCACCAATATTGGTTCTCGCCATCGTGCTCATCAAAATGCAACAAGAAAACCCTCTGCCATTGTTGGTCCCAACCCTCACAGGTCTTGCCCCTGGAAAACCTGCGCCATAAACCCTCAAAACCTCAAACCCTCAAACCCTCAACTCCCGAGGTCCAAGACTTACACCCTAAACCCCCCACCCCGACACGCACCTCTCTCCGGAGGCCGGACCCTCCTGTTATGGTAGACAGCAATCAGGTAGGGAGGGCAAAGAGAACTTGTTTTTCCGAGATGGTTTTCTGACAGGATTGGATTCACTTTACCGCTGTTATTGTCCCTAAGCCGGAAGTTTACCCTCAACCCTACACTGTCGGGGTATAGGGCTTGGGGGTTTCAGCTCACCGCGAATATGCCCTGTTGGTGACACACGTTTCAGCGCAATTCAGGGTTGAGGGGTTTGGGTTTTTGTGTTCAGGGTTTAGGGCAGTTTAGGGCTTATCTAAGCAAGTTTGACAAGCAAGCAGGACGAGTTTTAATGTTTTAGCCCCTAACATTTTGATCATTACAGAAGAGTTTTCTAAATAGTCCGCTTTATACCCGACACTTTAGAAGCAGTATGTGCGCCCGAAACCCTGGTGCCAGCATTATTCGGATGTGTTGTAAGTGTTCTGAACTTTGGTTGAAAGCAGCTTAGACAACTGATGCTGGCCCCCCGGAACCGTTGGCAGGCGTTGGATATTGGCCCGAATGTCGAAAACTCAACGAGCATTGCGGTTTGCAGAAGCTTGCGTGGTCGACATCACGATGCCCCAGCACCATAGACACCAGCAGATAGCTTTAGACCAAAGCTGAAGCCAAGCTGTTTGTAGTCATCAGATGTATACCATAGTATGCTCTGGTATACTGTGCCGTACGAGCCGACAGTAGACTGCATTATTGCTTCCAGGGTGTTGAACTAACCCGCTCTGAAAACCAGAGAAGCCTGCAAGAAACATCTAGCACACCAGCCATAAACCGGACGCGTGCAATTCTTTGGGGATCGTAATTGACCCGATTTGCCTAAAGCTACAGCCTACATCCCAAACACTGAACCCTAAACCGCGTCCCGGCCACAGAAGCTTATGCCGCGTATCCAAAATGCAAAAGCCTATGCTCGGATGGATAATTGTAAGAATTGTGGTACACCCGCAGGACATGGACGACGTGAAATCGGTGGGCAAGAAGGAGGAAAGGTTTTGTTGCCTCGAGATTTTGGGTGCATGTTTTTCAGGTTTAGGGTTGCAATGGGGCTTGTGCCCCAAGGTCATCCCAGACAGAGGCGCAACGAGCATGAGACACTTGTGCCTTTCAGGACAACGTGCTCTCAAACGCTGTTTTGGCGGGCCTTGGTGGCTTCACTGATACTGGCAGCTTCATCACGGCTCTCTTCCTAGCGGGCGTGGTGGGCTTTGTCGCAACCATGAGCTGTGTTGCCTCTGCCGCCGGCGACGATTATCCCATGGGGACCATGATCATTGATAGCTTGGGCGCCTGCGTCGGGGCTCTCTTCGTCGGATCATTCTACTCCACCATGATGTACGTTGGCCGCCCCATCCACAACAACCTGGGTGCGGAGCGTGGCTACAGCCTCATCAATGGCATTCTCTTCTTTATCCTTCTGCTCAGTTGGGTTTTCGCTGCGTTCTACCAGTTCCTGCCCGAATGCGCCCGTGGCTCCATCCTAGCCTTTGTCGGCTTGATCTTGGGCCGCCAGGCTTTCGAGGAGACACCTGCACGGCGCTACCCCGCTCTGCTGCTCAGCACCTTCCCCAAACCTTTGCAGTTGGGCAAAGCTTGGAAACTGGAATGAGGTTATCCTCCTGATGATGGGACAGGCCGGGGGTCTCATGTTCAGCTCTTTTGCCTTTGCATCGATCGGGACTCCTCTCAGGCTCTAGGAGCCCACGAAGGCCAATTTGCAGTCTCTGAGAGGTCAGAGAAGCAATCCTTTCAGCCGATTAAGCACACAAACCACAAATTATCTTGGAAGGTTCAATCTTTGAATCTCGGCAGAACCCAGTGTTGACATTTATTGGCTTTTCGGTGCCTGTTGGCAGGGGCCGTTTGTTGTTCACGTTGTTACTGCTGTGCTGCTGCGCCGAGGCAAAAAAGCTGCGTCGCCGCAGCTTTGAGCGACGAGTCGCCGCCTGGCAATCTTCCAGGATTTTGGGTTTACGGTTTAGGGGTAATAAAGGGCTTGTGGTTTCACAGCAGAAAGTCAAGATGGAGCCATGAGGTTTCTGGGTCAAAAAGTCTAGGCCTGGGGCCTGTCAGCTCCATACCAAACAGTCCCCAAAATTCAGAGGTCGCTTAACAATCTTTCTAGAAGGCTGCGCAATGTTGCAAACGCCGCCAAGAAACCGCTTGGAAGTCCCCCGCCCGGCGCTTGTAATAATGTCGGCTGATGTCAACAAAACCCGAGCCGCGACCGTGTTTATGTTATGTGTATGGATCCTATGTCTGGGCCCCGTGTTTTTTTCTGCTTAGCCCCGGCTGCAAGGGTTTCCACAGCCACGGTCATTGCCTTTCATGTGTACAAGAGACAGACCGGGCCGTCAGACGGTCGGAGTCGGACGGTCGCACGGTCAGACGTTCGGACGGTCAGACGGTCGGACGGCCGTGCGACGGTCAGATGCGTAGACTCGTAGACGGTCGAACGGTCAGCTGCTTAGACGGGCCAGATGGTCGCATGGTCAAAGCATCTGAGACTTTTGAAACCCATCATGCAAAACACTATGTTTGCAAGGGGGGGGAGGGGGGCGGGGCTGCCCCCCCCAACCCCCCTGCTGTGTTAATCCGTGAAACCCTCCGCTTTTAAAGCTGTGCAAGCTTGGGTCAGATTGACCGAAAAGTCACCAGCACTGGTCTTGGGGTCAGATTGACCAAAAAGTCACCAACACTGGTCCAGATTGCCCGAAAAGTCACCAACACTGGTCCAGATTGACCGAAAAGTCGCGAACAGATTGACCGAAAAATCACCAACACTGGTCCAGATTGACCGAAAAGTCGCGAACATTGGGGTCAGATTGATCCAGAAGTCACGAACAACGGGGGGGCAGATTGACCGAAAAGTCCCGAAGGTTTAAATATATGTGATAGAGAGGGTTTAGGGTTTATATAGGGTTTAGGGTTTAGGGTTTGCTGTGCTAGGGCATAGATGCTGTGAAGGTCAGGACGCAGCAGAGGCTCGAATGCCTCGTCAGGTGCGAAGAGCAGCTTTGGCCCGATTGTGGAGGGCCATCTAATACTTTTCTCCCACCCCACGCTGTCCAATCCAGCCAAATCACCCAAACCTATTCCTTTTTGGGTGAGGCCTAAACTCATGACAATCGCTTACTTTCAAAAAAAACCTTTCCGTCACCGATGGTCACTTTCAGCCAAGGGAAAGGTTTGAGGCCAGGTCCCGGCTCGTTTGTAGCACGGGTTTCGTGGTTTTTAGAGGGGCGGGTCAGGGGGGGCCAGGTCAGATGGTCAAGGCAGGCCAGGAGGGGCGGAGCCAGAACCAGGCGGCCAGGGGGGGCCAGGGGGGGGGCCAGGGGCCAGGCCAGTCAACCCCAAAAACGCAGCTTTTGACCCGCCCCGTCTGAGCCGCTTGACACCAGCGAATGTAGGCCAAAAGCCCTAGAAACCATAGACAGGGGTGAAAGAGGGACCCCTAGAAGGGACCCTTCGCTGAGGCTTTTGCAATCGCGCTCGGCGGATCCGTTCGTACGGCCACCTTCTTGGCCGACGCCCTGGGTCCCACATGGGGCTAGGGTTTAGTTTATGATTTCGGGTTTATAGGGTTTAGGGTTTGGGATGCGGATCAAAAAAATCTATTTAGGATCAAGAAAAAATTTATTTAGGATCGAAAAATAATTTATGGTGTTCTTCCGACGGAGAAAGAGAAGATGGGATGGAGGGAGGGAGACAAGGAGGGAGGGAGGGAAGGAAGGGCGGAAGGACGGAAGGACAGGAAGGAAGGAAGGAAGGTAGGAAGGAAGCAAGGAAGCAAGGAAGCAAGGAAGCAAAGAAGCAAGGAAGCAAGGAAGCAAGGAAGCAAGCAAGCAAGGAAGCAAGGAAGCAAGGAAGCAAGGAAGCAGGGAAGGAAGGAAAGGAAAGGAAAGGAAAGGAAAGGAAAGGAAAGGAAAGGAAAGGAAAGGAAAGGAAAGGAAAGGAAAGGAAAGGAAAGGAGAGGAAGGAATCAAGAAAGAAATAAAAGGCAAGAAATAACAAAAGAAAGAAAGCAAGGAAGAAGTCGTGCCAGCTTGCTTCAAAGCATGCGTATTCTGGCCTTCTGGTTGCTTGGTGCTGTGCTCCTGAGGTCCTCTGGTCCTCCGGTCCTCTGGTCCCGTGGTTTGACGGTCCCGTGGTCAGAGTTTCCTTTGTATTTATTATTTTTTGGTCATTATGGTATATTCAGTTCTGTAGGAAAACATAACATAACATCATATGTTATAATATATATATATGTGTGTATATATTAAAACAAAGTACAATAATATTATATAGTGGAATAGAGTATCATAGAACACAATATCTTATAGTATACCTTCGTATCATAAAAACTATAAGAAATCGTAATAAGAAAGCGTCTATGTATATATTTAATGCTATTTTATATACAATTCATAATACACAATACATATTTATTGTTTGTTTGGCGCCGGGCAAGCATGTTCAACGCGTATGAATCCCTTCCAAACCCATGATGCGAGCATTGTGTTTGCAAATGGGGGAGGGGGGTCTGCCCCCCCTCAAACCCCCCGCTGTTTTTTAAAGCCGGGCAAGCTTGCTTCAAAGCATATGAATGTCCTTTCCAAACCAATGATGCGAGGGTTGTGTTTGCAAATGGGGGGGGCTGCGCCCCCCCCAACCCCCCCGCTGTTTTCTTAGTCCGGGCAAGCTTGCTTCAAAGCGCATGAATTCTTCCAATCCCATGATGCGAGCACTTGTTTGCATAATATAATAATACACAAAAACACAACAATTTTCAAGTATACAAGAATATGCAGCAATATACGCGTAAAACAAGAATAACTTACAACAATTTTCAGTAATTGACAATAGTATTCAAGAATCGACAACAATATACAAAAAATGCAAAAATGTACAATCATATACAACAATATATGCAATAATTTTCGAAAATATACAAAAAACATACAGTAATATAGCAAAAACAAAAATTCAATGACATGCAATAATGTAACATAGTATACAATAATATGCAATAATAGCAATAATATACAATGACATACAATAATATACTATAATATAGCATAATCTGCAATGATATACAAAGAAACTTCAACAATATACAATAATGTACAGGAATCTACAAAAAAAGAATAATACACAATAATTATGAAAATATACAATAACATTCAGTAATATGCAACAATATAAAATATTATACAAAAATACAAGAAAATACACGACAATACAATCATACTCAACAATATGTACAACAATATACAATAATATGCAAGAATATACAATGTCATACAATACTATACAAGAATATACAATACTATGCCACAATATACATGCTTCAGAGCATACGCATTTTTTGGAAACTTCTAATGCCAAGATGCCAGCATTGATTTGCAGCCTCTGCAAACGCAGAAATGCTGCTATTTACAGTATTTCCAGCCTCTGAAATCGCAGAAATGCTGCTATTTTCAATATTCGCAGCCTCTGGAAACTCAAAAATGCTGCAGTGTACAGTATTCTCCAGCTTCTGAAAGCGCAGAACTGTTGCTATATACAATATCTGCAGCCTCTCTGGGAACTCAGAAATGCTGCTATTTTCAGTAGTTCCTGCATAAATGCTGTGTTTTTTCGGTATTTAGAGCTTGCGAACGGCCCGAACTGCTGCATTTCTGAGCGTTTACGGCCTCCGCTTCGCTTGCAAGAAGCCTTCGAAGCCTTCAATAAATTATTGTTTGATCCCAAATAAGTTTTTTTTTGATCCGCCTAGAAATAAATCATTTTTTGATCCCAAAGAATTTTTTTTTTGATCCCCTACCCTTTAGGGTTTAGGGTTCAGGTCCATGTGGGACCCCGGGCTGGCCAAGACCAGCAGAAAAAAAACAAGGGGTTCAGGGTTGGGGGATTAGCAAATTGATTCATCTAGGGCAAGTTTGGCTATGTAACTTGGGTTTAAAGACATTTGTGGCTGGAGCACCTACTTGGGCATCAGCCTAAACCTTAGGGTGAAGGGGCAGTCATGGAGGCAAGGCTTAGGGGGATTTAGGACTTAGGGCTTAAGGTTGACCTGAGCGGGGCTTGACGATAGTTTTCATGGCCCAGGTTCGGTTTAGGCTTCGGGTTCATCTTTTTAGGGCTTAGGGTTTAGGGTTTACGCTTCCAAGGATTCAAGGTTTGGGGTTTCGGGGTTCAGGGAGGGCTGAGTTATCTCTCACCGGTTTGGGCGGTCAGTGGGCTTCAAGGCTTTGGGTTTTGAGTTCACCTTTCCTTAGCATCGCAGGCACTCTTGGTTCGTACTTGGCCAGATTGAGCTGCTAAACAGTAAGGCAGACTGCAAACATTCACCCCCTTCAGCCCTAAACCTAAACCCTCCGACCCTCCGATTCTTTTGAACATTTCAAAGCCTCCTCATAATCAATACTGTAGACCGCCATGGACGAGACAAGGGTGGAACCACGAAACGTCGCCATGGACGATGCGCTCACCTTGTTGCACGGAGCCTTGCACCAAGAGGCTTGCCTCCGGACTTTAACACCAGCTTTGGATAGCCTTCCTTCGGACACGCAACCTGTGCGGGACCTCCTCCCAGACCTTTGTTCGCGCGTGCGTTCGGCCTTTGAGAAACTGACTGCCCTGGCAGAGACGGATGAAGTGGCCTCGGTGCTCTTGGCCTCGGTGTTGTGCCGACACAGGCTCTCCAAAGGGCTGGTCTCAGACGAGGCTGCGGCTGCTGGTGTCTTTCGGCATGCCACGGCGACGGCCGAACATAGCCATCTCGGGCTTTATCTGGTGGGCTGTGCTTACTTGGACGGGCTAGGGGTCGCGAAGGATCACGAGCGGGCTGCCAAGCTGCTGAACCAGGCAGCAGAGCAGGGCAGCGCAGCAGCCAAGTGCTCACTCAGCTTCTGCTATGAGAAGGGCTTAGGCTTGAAGAGCGATGATGCCCGGGCCCGGCAGCTTTTGAGGGAGTCAGCAGATCTGGGATATGCCGTCGCGTTGTTTAAGCTGGGGTGTTGCCATGAATATGGCATTCTGAGCACGGAGGTCAGGCCGGAAGAGGCTCACCGGCTCTATGCCGAAGCCTCCAAGCAAGGCCATCCGGCAGCAATGGCGCAGCTGGGAAAGAGTTTTTCGAATGGCGTTGGGGTGGCAGTCAACAAGGCAGAGGCCTGCCGATGGTTTCAGTGCGCCGTGGAAGCTGGTGACAGAGATGGCATGCACCTCTTGGCTCTTGCGTACCGATATGGGGAGGGTGTGGAAGCGGATACGACGAGGGCTGTGGAGCTGTACCGCCAAAGCGGGGATTTGGGGCAGCCGCAGGCCCTGTACAACCTGGGTTGCTGCTACATGAACGGCACAGGGGTTCAAAGAGACCCGGCCGCAGCCGTGGATTGCTACCGCCGTGCTGCGGCGAAGGGCGACATGGATGCCCACGTGAACTTGGCCAAGTGTTTGCTCACGGGGGACGGTGTGGCACCAGACCAGGCAGAGGCTCAAAACCTGCTGATGAGAGCTGCAGAGCACGGCCACCCCGTTGGCCGTTCCTTCGCGCAATTCCACAAGATGGTGCACCCGGCCCCAGGCATGTAGGCCCAGCCTGTGGGGCACAGAGAGACGTAGCCTCGAAAGGTCCAGGGAAAGGTCCAGGGTCTGGTTTGTATGCTTGAGGTCCCTAGCTTTGCAGTCCACATCTCTTGCTTGGAGCTTCCAAAGGGGTTGCAATAGGTCAACCAAGGCCTTGTGGGGCTCGTGGTGCAGATCTTGGGAAGATGTCGTCCAGCACCATAAGCCCTAAGACCCAAAAAACTCAGACCCTGAACCCCAAAATGCTTCGAGAGCCTCTGGCCAGAAGGGACCCGCCAGTGAAATCCTAAAAGCCTTGGAGCCCGAAGGCCCAACAAGGGTTTAGGCTGTTTAGGGTTTCGAATTCCCAAAGTAGCTGGAGGTTTTCCAAGGTTACAGCTTACGGCTTCAAACGGATGGGGAAGGTTCAGGGTCGGGTGCCTCCTCCTTGCAAAGTCTACGTTGCCCTTGGAGGTTTTCAGGGTGTTGCTCTCTTTTTGAGCCTTTCCGCGAGATACGAGAAGAATCGAAGAGACTCCGAAATCGCGCGAAGGAGGCATGAAACCAACAACGCGCAATGCGGCGGCTCAGCCTGCTGGGAACAGCTTGGGAACCTTAAGGCCCGAACCCTAAAGCCCAAACCTGGGATATGTAAATAGAATAGGATACAAAATGATGCGGATGCCGACTTAAAGCACATGATGTTTGAGTTTGTTTTTTTTTTTTTTTTGCGCGGGGGGGGGGGGGGGGGGGGGGGGGGGAAGGGGGAATCGGGGATTCCCAGGAGCCAAAATTTTTGGGGTCGCGGCAGCTCCAAAAAGCAAGAGCATTCGCTTTCTGCGTTTCGACAACCCACATGAATACAGGGCGGCTTTGCTTTGGCTTCTGTGCGCACAAGTTGCGCATGCTCATGCGAAGCAACTTGCAAGGAGCACCGAGGAAGGTGACTTCCGAAACAAGCGTTCGCAGAGGCAAGGAGCTGTTTGGTCCGCGCGAAAACCGTTAGGTTGTTCGCGCCCAGAAACAGACCAAGTGGCCAAAGAGCCGGACAGGTGAACTGATAAATCGAAGGACAATCGGGGTCTGCCCAGAGCAAGAAGGCCGTCACTCACCTTCAAGTCAAGGGCGTGTAAGGAGCGATGGCCACCACACACTGTCGCTGGTAGCCTCAAAAACGCCCACAAGTGGAATCTTCACTGAACCTTCAACGATCCCATATTCAATTCAAAAGATTGAAACAGGGTCCGTAGTCTCTGTTTCGTTCGGACAGATGCCCGGACGCCACAGTACGAAGCTGGGCAATGGAGAGGGATGCAGCTTGATTCGGGACTGCTCGTGCAGCTCATGCCAGCATGCAGCCCACTTTAAGCATGATCCATCATGGGACATCCGGCTCCATCATGTCTCATGCATATCATGCATCCAGAATACCCCCACCCCCCTGACACATGCAGCTTTATCAACATATTTTCTGTCTGATGGATGTCGCTTTCGTCGCATTGCCACCAGAGGCACAGCCGCAAAGAGCTAGGGCAGCTAGGGGAAGATCACGGCTCTTGCTTGGATGTAACCACCGCTAGCATTCCGCCAGAACTTCATCTCAAAGGTTCCTGGCATGATGTCCACGACATGTCATGTTGTAAGATAGCGGAGAACGGTAGGAAGGAGGAAGGCGCCTCTTGCTGGGAACGGCCGTGTGGTGGCTGAAGGTGTCTAGTTACTCGAGATGGAGTCGACGAGAGAATGACAGGAGGCTCTATAGACGGATCTTTCGAGTCCTTAGTTATCTTTGGTTTTTGTTTCCAACCCCACGGGCATGTACAAGAAATTACTATTGGCAGGCCACTCATGCAAGGCGCATCGATGAGCCTGAGTACCTGGAGGCCGGCTGCTGGGTTCATGATGGGCCACCGGGCCTCTTAGCCCCCCATGGTCAACCCGATAAACGGGGCCTCTTCAAACGATGCCAAGTAGTAACAGGGTTCCCGGGACCATAAACCCCCTAAACCCTGAACCCTAACTTTTCAACCTGACACCAAGCGCATGTGCGACAGGTCCTGATCACAGCCGCCCACTGGGCCCGTGGTCTTCTGACACTCGGCTTAGTTTGGGGTCACTGTACTTCAGTTTGGCACTACAGCAAGTGCGAAAAGTCAGGAGAAGGGATGTCATGAGACGACGGTGCCAGACAGGATAGTCCCAAGACCCCCCAACTCCAACAGCCAGTCACTTTGAAGGACTTGTTTGGAGACGATGCAAGGGGTTTCCATGTAGGCGTTGTGCTTTTACATCCCTAAGAACCCAAAGCCGAGTTTCTTGTAGGTTACCTAAGAAACATATGCGGGGCTTGCTTATTATAAACCTACACCAAAGTAGGTTTGGGGTAAGGTGAGCCTTAAGACCTCAGTCCTAAATCCCTTTAGCCTTGAAGCCGACCTGTCACCCAAGTGGTGACCCTGAATCAACCCTGAACCTTAAACCCCCTAAACCCGCTAAACCCCTCTCTAAAGCTGCCTGAACCCGCTAAGCCCCCCCTGAACCGCCAAAACCCTAACCTGAAACCCACAACGCAGCGCTAAGGCGCCGCTGCCTCGTGGCCTGGCCATCCGGGCCGAGCTTTGCGAATCGGCGTTAGGGGTTTCGGGTCGAGGGTGCACTGGTCTGCTGCATGTCAAGGGACTCAAGGAGGCCCTGAAAAGGGCCTGAGGAGTTATTTACGGGGCTACCCGGGTAAATAGGGACTGGAAAAGGCATAGATAGGGGTTAAATAGGGGAAGAAGGTTAAGATTTGTCTTTAGGGGTCCCTCCTTATACCCCTTAAGCATGAGGTTTGGGGTTTGGTTTTTTTGTATATAGGAAACGACGCCTGGTAGTGGACTGCCGGCGCGTGAATGCCCGGATTAAGCACTCCACGTACTACTGTCGGCGGGGCAGTGACGTGCTCGCCGCTGCAGTAGGTTCGGTTTGGTATACCTTCGTGGATGCGGTGAGTGGTTTCAACCAAATCCGCTGGGGAGTCCCATATTTGAGCAAGACTCCGTGGACCCCAAACCCTAAATGAGCGGCGCCAAAAACCTCCATGAAAGAATTAGATTGAGGGTTCGCCTTTGATTGGCCCGCGTCAGCTAAAGTCCGAGGCGCGCCAGTGCGCGATAGTTTCTGCGAGAGAGCTCTGGTTACGAGAGCGCGCGATAGCGCGCGACAGGGTAGGTGTTGGTTGTAAAACATGTCTCTGACTGCAGGTCTTGTCGGTATATTAGGGTTCAGGCTATTCTGAAGGTTTGGGGTCTTGTGTTGGCTTCCCGCGATAGTCCGCGTCAGTGCAACCCCAAAAAGCATGTGCGCGTCAGCGCGCGATGCGGCCTGCAGCAGGCCGCGTCAGAGCCCGCGAGAACCCTTCCATAGTCGAATGAAAAGTTCAAAGGGTTTTCGCCACTGCTCAAATCGAAAGAGTCGTGTTCTAAGGGTTTGCCTTTGGCTCTCCGGTCACAGGGGGCGGTCCTCGCAAACTGTCACGGTCACCTTTGTGGCCTTCATGTTCTGATCGTAAGATTTGTAGTCGGTTATTGTCGTTGGATGTTGCAGTAGTCTATTTTGCTAAGATTTTTGACGAACAGTGTGGATTTTTGCCGAATGCTGCCTTGCCGAAGTAGAGATTCAGACTTGTCAGCTGCCATTTGCCGAGCCTCAACTGCCAGGGGTGCCTTCACACGTCCGGCGCCTAGGTACAGCAGAGACCCGGCAGTGCACTCAACGCAGCCGTGTCTTTTTTTTGGGTGGGGGGGGGGGGCGGGGGTTGTGTAGGGGGTATAGGGTTTAGGGTTTCGCAGCCCGCAGGGACAACCTACACCCTGAACCCTGACCCCTGATTCCGAGGCCGCCAGCTGGGCCTCCGAGTCCGCACCCGGTACCTGGGTGAAATGCGCCTGGTGCCGGCGGTGAGGAGGCTCGGCCGTGCTCAAATGTGGGTTTAGGGGATAGTAGGGGTACCATATGGGGGTCTGGATTATAAGGGGATCCTACTATTTGGGGTCAAAAGAAAGGGTCCCTTATGATGGTAAACCCCCAAATGGGTCACAGATTCAGAGTTGCAGTTGGCATCCGTCGCTCTTCTCAAGGTCTCGGCCCAAGACCCCAAGCCCTTCGCTCCAAAGTGTTGGTTTGAGCAGGTAGGAGGACATTTTTTCAGGCTTCAGTGAAATTCGGTACGGCGCTCGCGTGGGCACCACACTAGGTGCAATAGAACAACTGCAGTATAAGGCTGGGAATGCTTGTCTTGCCACTGAGCCCCGGCCCACACCAATCGAGTCACGCACATCATAGCACAACATCTTCAGCTCGGATCAGAGCCTCCTCGACATCAACCCGGCTCCTCTCAGCTCTGGAGGAATGCGCTGAAGAGCTGGCGACTTGCTGCGCGGGCCGCGGAGGGGCCTTGTGCGCTTAACTGTTGGAGATGAGCAGATCTGGGCCCTGGTTTTCCATGCTTGCGGGTGTTCTTTGAGCTGAAGGTCTGCATACTCCCATGTTGAGCCCATTTCCCGGGCTTCCACCCGTGTGGGAGTAGTCAGATCGATGCATGTTGGTGTGCTTGGTGGGGCTTTGCACGCAAAGTTCAAAGTCTCACTTCCCTTTAAACGAACTTGGTTCAGGCACACGCGAGTAGTCGATATTCCTACGACAAGGTTTTCTCAACTGGAGCCCGCAGAATTCAAGCAACCGCATAACTTTTAGATAGGCACAACTCAGAACATCCCCTGTTTGACCCTGTTTGCGCCCGTAGGCCCACCGCCGACACGCGGCCCGGCGATGGGGTCGCCAGCTCCTAGCTGCTACCGTGGAATCTGGGATGCTAACCTGGGTCAGCGTTGTTTTGAATATTTGAGGTTTGGTAGGATCATGCAGGACAGTGCAGGGTTCAGGGCAGACGGTCAAGGCTTGATGAAGGTTCTTCATCATTGTCTCGCCGGGAAGGTGACGGTCATTGGATGCCACTGTGCAACAGAAAGGCTACAACTGTGTGCTTGCAGGAGCTTGTAGCAAAGCCTCGTACTCATACTCGGAATCAATCTTCGACATTGAATGCAACCAGAAAGCCCCTGAGCCCTGAGCTTGGGCGACCCAGGACGAGTGGCGGCAGAGCGCCAGGCCGGGTACGGGTGTGGAATGATCCAGTGTTCAGGGTTGAGGGTTCTGCGTAGGGCTGCGGATTTCGTTGCCTAATCTGACCTAATCCCACGCAAGAGAGCCTACTGACAATGTGACAAGCAAATCCTAAACCCTAAACCGTCTAAAGCCCTAGAAACCTCAAAGCCCTAAACCACACAACCCCAAAAGCCCAAAACCCTCGTAAAGCCCCAAAAGCCCCAAAAGCCCCAAAGGCCCCAAAGGCATCTAAGCCCTGAAGCCCCAGTTGGGCATCGCAGGCTCGAGCGCCGGTGGCGCAGCCTCCGGAGGCAGCAGCGGCTTCGTCGCCGGAGGAGCGTGCTGGCGCGGTGGAGGTCGGAAACAGCCCTCGGCTCAGGGGGCATCCCGTGGAGGTTTATCATGGGGTACTGAGCGGGGTTCGAAGTACACTAAAGATGAGGTCATGAAAGCCCCTTGGCTCGTGTCGTAACTACTCTGCTTTAGAGCCTACTGAGAGGTGCACATATGAACCTCCAAGTGCAGCAAAGGCTAGCTGTCATGGCATCTTGGCATGCTTGTGTTGAAGACGGCTGTTGGAAATGCCCCAGCCGCTCAATTGCAGGGTTGCTAAGCCCCTCAGATGCCAATATCCTCAGACTTCTCAGGATCTCCTTGCCCAGAGGAGGAGGACTGCATGTAGACCGCAGGGGCATGAGCGGAAGTACTCGTAGGGCGGCCGTGGACATAATCGCATCGCCTATCAGGTGCAACAAAGAGAAACTCACGTGCACTGTACAGGATTGGCTTATGATAGCAGGCCGGCTCTGACATCTCTTGCTCAAGGACTCAAGGTTTCGGCTTCTTGTGCAACTGCCGCCTGCTGCCATGCCAGGAAGGTGAGCGCCCTCAGAGAGCGTATTCACGCCAGGCTCCCAGCTCGAAACCCGAAAAGCGCTAAGAGCAATAACCAGCCCCTAAGAGCCCCAAAAGCCTTTGGAGTGCTCTCCACAAGAGCCGACCCTGTGAGGCAACGTCTCTGTAGACGCTCGTAGTACACCTGCCGCTTTTAACCGTAAACCCAAAACCCTAGTCAAACCAGCGCCCCCCCCCCCCCCCCCCCATGTCCTGCTCGGTTTGGAGTTCGGGTTTAGGGTTCAGAGTTTAGGGCTTAGTATGGTTTAGCAAACCCCGAGGCTGAGTCAAACATCTAATGAAGCCTGAGGCCACCAAGGGGCTATGACCCAAAACCCTAAATCCTAAACCCTAAACCCTAAACCTATGCCTTTAAAGCTCTTCCACCACCAGGCTTGGGTTCTTAGGGCAAAAAATCCCGTCTTGACCCCAACACCTAAGCCCCTTGTAAAGCCCTTGCTGACAAGGCTCAGAGATGCGCGGAGGCAGTTTTTTTGTTCAGGAGATGCTGGGTGAAGTTTTGCAGGCGGTTCAGGCTTCAGGCTCAGGGATTCCAAGGCGTGTCCAGGCCTTCAGGGATGCTGAAGCCCGTGGCAGCCCCGCAGCCTTGCAAAAAGGGTCTTGGGGGCCTTGAGGCTTGGAGGGCTTACAAAGACCCAAGACCCCCCAACATACGGTGCGTTACCTTGTGTAGAACAGTTCCCCCCCCCCCCCCCCTAATCTGGGGGCGTACACCTTGAGGGTTAAGGCGGAACCCTTCTGGAGGTCGTGACTGCCTGGCGACAACACGTTGCCTTGGCGTTACGGCTGAAAAGGCCAGCGACTTCCATGAAACCGCATGGGGGTTGTTCCAATGATGGAGCTGTTTGGGTTCCCTTGACAAGGAATCCTGCAACCAAATGTTTGCTGTGGGCCGTAGAGGTTTCGGGGTTTGGGGTGATCTGGGGCTGGGGCCGACTTTGTACGTTGAAGGATGAGCGTGAGTGTATGAAGTGGAAGACCTTGGATCAGGATCCATATACATAACCCCGTAGCCTCCAGTCAGTTGTAGCGTGCCAGCTTCTTGTTCACAGCTAATTATCTTCAAGCCCAAACCTAAGCCGTGTGCCTAAGGCCTAAACCCGAACAGAAATCCAAGAAGGCTTCTCTGTTGTCATCAGCTTCCATTTGTTTCAGTGGCCCCAAAGGTGGAGCTTTCATAGGGTTTTTTAGAATGTTTTTAGGGTTCTTGCGCGCTTCCAGGGTGAGGGGTAGCGTCCAGGAGTTGAGGGTAGGCAGTGGTTCAGGTGTGTCTGTGGGTCTTTAGGGCTTTTCAGAATTTTGGCCCAGCTGTGCCAGCACGGAAGGCACGCGCAACAGCGCCACCAGAGGATCCTCGACCAGCTCCTCTTCGGCTGGCGCGACTTCTGCTCCTCGCAGCTGTGGCGGAGGCCGGGTGGCACCTGCTAGTCGCTGGGAGTCTAGGGCCCTGGAGTCGAAGTCTTCACTGCCCCCTTGTCATAACAGTCCTTAATAGGGATTCTAGTACCCGCATTGTAATCCCCATTAGGGACTAACATCTCAAGGTTTAGGGGTCTGGGGTATCGACCTACTGTTGGGTTTTGGGGATTAAGGTTGAGCTCGCAGATCTTCAGGCCAGCCTGAGCGAGAACCCGACAACCCTGAATCAAGAGCCCAACCGCCAGGTGACCCAAACATCCGATGATAAGGGGCTTTAGAGTGATCACCTACAAAACGTACTAGGAGGTAGTAGGTTTCGGATTCTCAAGTTAAACCCCTCAACCCCAAGCCTGCAAGCTGGGAAGAGCCCCACAGGGCCCGCCTGGAAGAGCGATTCAGCAAGCGCCTGCTCCGTCCTCTCCTGGGCGCCTGGCGGTGGCTTCACCTCAGTGAGGCTTGTATTCGGGCCAGGCCCGGGGGGAGGGCGCCGGGCCCCTGTCAATCCTTTTGCCCCAAAGCCCTACTCGCCCTATCCGCGGACCCTAACAGAAGCTAAACACCGTGAAGCGCCCCATTCCAGGGCCTCCCAACGCCGCTTGGCCCTGGCGCACTGCAGCTTCGGGCGCTGGCGCGCGCGTGCGGCGCGAGGGCGGCAGCGCCGATGGGTGGAGGTGGCGTCGTTTGGGTGCCTAGCTTTCAGGGAGTTTAGGAAAGTCTCGCATTTTTTGAATTCATTATTTCTATTTTTCATTTTCCATAGTTTTTTGCGGGGGGGAGGGGTGGTGCAGGGTTTAGGGTCAGGGGGGGTAGGATATATTGAGAGCTCACAGAGCTATAGGGTGGAGTACGGCCATTGGTGGGGAGCGGATGTTACGAGTTTCGAGTTTGGCTTCGCGGACGTGTGGTTTCCTCTCCCGATGCTACGGAGCCAACCAGCTTCATAAATGCAATGGGCAGATGGCTTGCCATCCACCCACCCCGGATCTGCAAAGCTTCAGTTAGGGTTTCAGGGTTTAGGGTGTGCAGGGTTTAAAGCTGCCCCGAAGGCACAGCAACATGCGGATGACATCCCAGTCCTGCGCGGGGCTTTGCACGCATGGCTTCTTCAGCGCGGACGCTCCTTGGACGCTAGCGTTCTTGCCCAGTTCTGGATCCCTAAACCCTGGACCCTAAACCCTAAACCCTAAACCCGAACCCTGAACCCTAAGCTCGATACACCCTAAACCCCCTTGGAACTTCTTGAGTGACTAGCCACCTTGAGGGTGTGGGGGACATGAGTTGGGCTTATCTCGTTCTACGCTCTTTTGGCCTTGGGCTATCCCCTTATGTTTTGTTGTGTTGTGTTATGCGACTTTTTGTTCGGTCATGTTCCGTGTTCCTTCAAGTCGTTTTCGAGTGTTGCGGCTTTTTCTAGTCTTTGGGGTCACACAGAAGCTGCCTGTGCCGTTGGCCATCTTTTCAAATGATGTCAGTCCGATCTTCGCAATCTTGTGATGTGCCTCTGACAACAAATCTGAAAGAGCGCACGGGATTGCATCAGCGGATTGTATATCTTGGCGATGAACTCTAACATTGTTTTTTGAAATATGGATGCCGTTCATTTGTTGTTTTGAACTTTTTCCCTTTTAGTACGACGCTTTTTTGTGATATCTAAAGGTCTCGAAGATAATGAGTTGTCTTTGACTTGACACTTGCTTTTGAAAAGCAGTGAAGAAAACGTCGTGCACCCTTGAACTTCCAAGGTGGCAAGGCTGCCCGTCAATACTGGCGCCGTGTGTATCTGCTCCTGACAGTTCCAGTGGAGGCCGAGAAGCAGAGCCGCCTGCGCAGAATCTCGGCCAGGCTTCGTCAGGCTTTTTTCAGGGTTCATGTCCAACACAGGAAAGAGGTCTTTTTAACCTTTTGGAAGATGGCTCCCCCACATCTCACTGATTCAAGGTTTTTTCGGAGCAACCAGACCTGTGCACCCAGGACACAAGCTCCAGAAGCATGCTTGGCGCTGCTGGCGCGAAAGCGGTGCCATCACCAGGGACCTGTTGGCAAAGTTTCGGAGGAGGGAGGCTGGCTTCTGCGCCGCTGCGTTCCGTGCTTGGCAAGGCAGGGGGTTGTTAGTTGTTGCTGTTTTCTTGTGCGTTTAGCCGGAGATGGAGGTGTGAGCACTTTCTCTCGCCTACTTCCCACCCCGCTGCCGCTGTTGCAGTGCGCGTGCGTGAGAGCGCTCTTGCCTAACACATCCGACAGTCGCTGCACATCACCGCGCCTGCGAGGCCAGATGCGTTGTGCGGGTACCTTGGAGACATCGGAGTGCTTGCTGGAAGTGTCGGCGAGCACCGATGTGCTCAGCACCTCCCAAGAGGCTGATCGCCACAACAGGGAGATGGGTGAGATGAGCGTTTTCTTCGAGATTTCCACAAGTCTCTCGGAGATCAGGGAGGTGTCGCCGACCGCGAGTGACTCTAAGCACTCCGTGCATTCCGACAAGGAGGCATTTCAAGAGGTCCAACCGGTCCCAGAGCCGAAGCCCGAGCCACCAGAGCCACCAGAGCCACCGGAGCCACCGCCACCAGAGCCACCGAAGCCAGAGCCGCCGAAGCCTGCGCCCGGGCCAAATCCGGGTCTCCGTTCCCTCGTGCGCTCTCTCCCCTCGCCCTCGAGATCCCGCTCCGCCTCCTTGGCAGGCTCCGACTCCGACCGCTCGAAGCAAGGGACCCCGGCAGAGCCTTGTGGAGACAGGGGGATCGGAACCCGCGAAGAGAGGACCCACGAGCGGACTCCCGCCCGCGCGAGCGGTGCCGCCCGCGGGGCGCTCACGACTTGCTGGTCGGCTTGGAAACATGAAGCCAAACGAACGGAATCTTGCATGCAAGAGTGCATCATGTTCCTGTTTGTATTTAATCAAAAAGCTATACTGCTGGTATGCATTCAGAGATCCCCTTTTGCTGCTGCCCCGAACCGCCGGTCGGAGACCTCAAAACACTTGCTTCTCCGCAGGGCTTTCTCCACAAGAGATGGTCGATGGCTTCGGCCATGAAGCAGTGGCAGGCGTCACTTGTCAACAATCACGTCGAAGGCAGACCCCAGGCAGACCGTGTCAAGCAGCCTTTTGTGCAGAGCCGCAGAGGTTTAGCAGTGGGCACCATCACCTCCTGTGGGCTTGGCGGGCAGCTTGCCTGCAACTAGGAGGTCATCGGAAGGTTGGGAAAGCTCTTTCGGTATCGTGTCCTTGATATGGCTATTCTTCCCAGGTACGACGTCTGTGCGAACCCTTGGCCCTTAGCCCTCGCCAGCCTAAACGGCTCAACCCCAAACTCATCTACACCATGGATCCTCAACCGCAAGGCCTGGCTTTCAGACCTCCGGCGATGCCAAGCCGCTGAGGGCACCTGGGCAGCGGTTTCAGCCTGTCAGTTCGTGGGCCCTGAATTGAAGGTTTGACAAGGTGTTCAGGTTGCTGAAGTCTTACCGCTGTTGCTCCTTCCGCGGCGCCGTGAATCAGCCGCTGAGAAACTGTAGGGTGGCAATGATGCCCGGAAAGAAAGCTCGCAGGCTGTTGCGCTTGGAACGAGCAAACCCATGGTCGGCAGTTAGTCAACAGTTGAATATCCTCCGGCAAGGAAGCAGAGGATGACACCCAAGAAAAAGAAGCTGTAGGTTGTCCTTTGGTTTTTCCGGAAGCAAAGCTTGATCACGGCGCGAAAACTCGTTGTTTCCCGCTGTGCCGCCGTTGTCCCCCGAGTACGCAAAGAGTGCATGTGGCTGGCATGGCTGGCCTTGCCTCGGATGGCGGGACGGGTGTTGGACGTTGTGTGCGACCACCGATCTACTCGCTCATCCTCGTGTTTGTGGCTCCTACCTTCATTGACGTGCTGGCACTGCCTTTCATTACTTTGGCAGCAGCGAGCCGCGCGGTGAGGGAAGTGCATCGTACGTTGTACTACAGCCACGCGATGCAGAAGTTGCAAGGTTTTGGAGCAAGATGAATTTCAGCACGTGCCCAGCACATTGCGCCGGAAGAGTCACATGATCTGCTGATGCCACTGTGGTCGCAGCAACTCACAAATGAGCTGCTTGGTTTGCGGTTGCAACTTGAACGCCCGAATTGAAAGCGTGGTGGGTCCTTGAACGGTGTTTAGTCAAAGCTTGTCGTAAAGCATGTTTTCAACCAAGTTGCTGGTTACTCGCCGGCTGGTACTTACTGACTGGACCGAGTTTCTTGTGCAAGAATCACGAAAGACACACGATGATATCAATGATATCTCGATTCGCACACAGGCCGCGGCCGGGCCCTTCACCAGCACTGCCTGCTGCGCCGGGCCTTCGGCGGCCTCCGCCCTGTGCGGAGGCCTTGGGCAGAACTCCGTCGCCGGAATGCTCGGCAGGCGGCGCTGCTGCGACCTGCCGACAAGTGAGGAGGTCGTTTCTTTCTGCTTTTCAAGATGTGTCCACTCAGCTCGGCTCTGTCCGCCGGTTGCTGGCTGAATGCTTTTGTTTTTTTTCACGGATGCTCGCAGTATCTGTGTGATTGTGGGGGTTGTCATGTGCTATATAACCCCCCTTAGCATTTTGACTGGGAGTTCTTCGGTGATTTCGTGGCCTTGTGAATTTAACAAGGTGTGGAGGCAAGCGGTGAGTTGCAGTTTTTGGTGGACAGAGGGAAGGACTAGGCACCATTCGGTGCCATGCCCGAACAGCAACCCGTCAGCATGCAGGTCTTAAATTTGAGATTCCAACCATCCTTATCACCAAGGCCCCCCTTCCAGCCGTCTCACCACGCTAACAGCTGCAACGTGTGAACATGTGTTCGTCACAACCCGGATTTGCGAAATTGCGGCCAGTTAGGCTCCACATTTCCCTCAGCCGCTGGCGCCAGCGCTGGCAGGACGCAGCCCGCCTGCATGTCGGAGTTGTGCCTGCATATTCCAATCCTTTCGATTGTGAACTGGATGGTTGACAGTGTTGAAGACTTGACAGGCCTTGTGCCTCTTTTGATCAGGCCCGCCACGTGGTCGGATTTCTCCGAGCTTTCATCTCGAAGCAGCTTGGCTTTCTCCGTAACGGAAGTGTTGTGCAGAGATGGTACATGAAAAATGTGTGGTGGTGGGGCAGACACAGTCGAAGACTTGAAACGCTGATTTTGATTTGAAATTTGAGAAGGCGGTGTTGTGTAGTATCGCAATGCATCGCATATCATTGAAATGTGAGAGATGGTCATCCCAAGGTGGCGGCTATCGTTTTGCTGGGCCCCATGGTGCGAGCTGGTGAGACGCAGCGCTGAGAAAGGTCCTGGAGTCTCCTGGGAAATCTCTGCGATTTCAACGGCAGCTGGGCAGCAGTGAGAACTCAGGAAAGAGGGCCCGCCCTGGTTCGTCTTTTGCTCCCTACCCTTCACTTGTGCTAACCCAACAACAGCATACCGACAGCTCCGATGAGAACGCTTACAGGCTACAGGAGCCGGCAAGACCTGCTTGTTTCAAGAGAGGTCCATAGCTGGTTTTAGGGGGACCCATAGCCACTGCGCAGGGTGCACAGAGGAGCCCGTGCCCACGCATGAAAGGCTGCGGCGACAGCTTGACTGTAGAACTGTCGCAGTAGCTACAGTTGCCGGCGGGTCCTAAACCCTAAACCCTGAACCCCAATCGAGCTTGCGCAGTCATCGGTCGGAGCAGCCGTTCTGTTGTCATGTAGTGCCAAGCGGCCAGGAGTCTGCACATTCAAGTCGCATCTACAAGCTCGCGCAAGCAGCTTCAGAACCCTGAGCCCTAAACTCCCCGTCCCCGAAAGCCGCAAAACCCAATAAAGCGTCAAACCCCAAGCATCCTAAACCCCCCAAAAGAAAGGATTCGGGATCTGCCCTCGAGCGCAGCCGCGCCTCCCAGCGTTCCGAGGGCAGCCCGGCTTGCGCAACAGACCTTTTAAGGTGTCTAGGGTTGAGGGTTTAGGGTCGAGGGTAGCGGTTGGCATTGTTCTGGAGCATGTTGTTGTGTAGCACATTCTTTGTGCGTTAGGACATGTGAAGCGTCGACCGCCGCAGCTGTCGCCGCATTAAGCCGCTTCGCCCGCTTTTCTGTTCTCTGCCGTAGTGCTCTCGACGCGATGTCTTCCATCCAGACCATCGACGAGCAGCACGTCGCCGACTTCCTGGCGTACATCCTCGCCGACCCCCAGTCGGCGCTCGGCTTCGTCGCGTCGCTGCCCTTTGAGACGCGCACCCAGTTCGTCGCCGCCCACGCGACGTTGATGGTCAGGGTGCGCCAGCGCCAGGGCCTCCCCCCCGTCGTTTTCGACGGCGAAAGTCCACTCGGACAAGGCTCGACGGGGGGAGAGAGCACGACGGTTGGGGGGTCGGCGGGGATGTCGGCAGTGGAGCGGCGGCGGCTGGTCCCACTTCGGCGACCTCGGCGACCTCGGCATCCTCTGGCGGCACGACGACCTCGACGGCCACATCTTCGGCGGCGGCGGCGTCTTCGAAGCCTTCGACGTTCACGCCGTTGGCAGCGCCGCCTATGTGGGCCTCGTCGGCGACCCCGTCGACGAGATCTACGGCGGCCGGCGGCACGTCCTCTACCAGTACCACGCCGACGTCCTCGACGGCACCATCACTGGTTGGCTCAGGGGCAGGCGGGGGTCCGGCGGCCGGCGGGAACGAGCCCATGCACACCCGCCCGGCCCCCGCGACGCCGGCGACGTCTACGCCGACACTGCACCGTCGGGGCTTCGGCGGCGCCGCGCTCGGGTCGTTCGGGATGTGCTCCGCCCCCGCCCCGTAGACCTCCATGCGACGCTTGTAGCTGGCGTACGCCGGGTCGAGGGAATCGGCGAAATCGGCGTGGTGGGCCCGAGCGCGAGCGTTTGCCCGCTGTTCGGCGAACGCCGCCTGCTCCAGCCGATCCCGACGACGTACTTTTACGTCCGCCGGCTGCCGCGCAACATCCGCGGCGGGCGCATACCGGTGCCCCACGCCCGGAAGGGCCGCAAGATCGCCGGATGGTGCGCCCACCATTGCACGTCGGGGCGCTACTGCCGCGGCGAGGGCAGGTGCCTTCGGCCCGTCGTTCTCGGCGTCAACAATGCGCATGAGCCCCACGCCTGCCCCGAGTGCCTCGTCGCCGTCGATCAAGTCGCCACGGTGGCGTATGATCAGGCACAACGCGACGTGGAGCGGGAGGAGCGGGCCGCCCTCCCAGCTCCTCCGTCGTCGCCGGGGCAGGGCGCATCGTCGACGGGCAGCGCCTGAGACCGCCAGATGGGGGGAGGACGTCGTCGACGCCTTCTACATCTTCGTCGTCGACGGTGGGTGCGGCGGCTTGTTTCACCTTTTCTTCCGACGCCATTTTCCGAGACGCACGTCGGCTCGTGCCGTCGCGTCGGACTCGGAGCATCGAGCCTAGCCGCGTCGCGGCAAAAATGAGGGTGCGCTTACCTGCCCCCCCCCCCCCTCATGTTGCTCGGTTCGCCGCGCGTCGTTGTCCTTGTAAGCCTCCTTCGCGGGAGCGATCTCGACGTTCAATCAGTTTTTCGCTTAAGTTCGGCTCAAGATGTTCGTCGCTCAGTCGGCGCCGAAGGGTTCATTTGCCGAGCTGGTCAAGGTAGTGACCGACGCCGGCCTGCAGAGATGCCTTCCTGCCCTCGCCGAGTGCGGCGCTAGGTCGCTGGCTGACGTGGCCTCCTGCGCCGACGCGCTGGTCGCCGCCGGCGTTCCCCCGAGCGACGTCGTGACCTTGGTGGGCCTGCGGGCATGGCCGGTGGCGACGGCGCAGCCCTTGGCAGTAGCGACGGTCCGGTCCGACGTCCCGGTCCGCAGGAGAGAGGCGTCGGCATCGCTCCAGGCAGCCCTCGCCGCGGCAGAGCCGCAGAACTGCAAGAGGTCCCTGGAGCTCGTCGACCAAGGCCTCCTGGGCCCCGTCGAGTCGCGCCTCAGGACTTGGCGACGCCTCGCCGAGGCGTGGGGCATGGAGCCTTTCCCCATCACCGTCGAGCTGGTGAGGGTCATGGCGGCGTCGTTCAAGGCCGGCGCCTACCGATCCGCCCAGGGGTACTTCGACGCCGCCAGGTGGCACCAGGAGGCCTACCTGGGCTCGTCGCTGGACCCGTTGGTGGCGCGGTCCATTCGCCGCCACGTCCGTTCAGTCCTGCGGGGCCTCCCGGCGACGACGCTCAAGGAGGCGTTTCCGTTCCTCCAGCTGGCGACGGTGGTCCAGGTCCACTTCGTCGCCGTGCCGTTCGTCTTTGGCACCGTACCCCACATGGTCGACGTGATGATTCTGGCCTTGTCGGTCCCCATCCACAAGGTGGCTCAGGGGGGTGAGAGGGAGCTCACTCGTCGCAGTTTGCGCTGCATTTGCGGCGCGGCGACCCACCCCCTCTGCCCCGTGCATGCGGCCATTCGGCACCTCGCCAGACTGAACACGGCGGCGGTCGTCGAGTTCGACGCGCCCTTGGTGCCAGGGGCGGCCGGCGGCGAGTTCACCAAGGGTGCCTTCGGCGCTTCAGGTCCTCCGTTCCGCCGGCGTCGAATGTTCGTACATCGACCCGCTTGGGAGACGTCGGCCCAGGTTCAGGGGACACCTCGCCTGCGTGGCCGGGGCGACGTTCTTGGCGTCCAAAGGGGTGCCCATTGAGGTGATCCAGCTCCTCGGGCGCTGGTCGTCATCGGCGATCCTGAGGTATACTCAGGCGGCGCCCCTCGCCGCGGCACCGACCGTGCCGGCGACGGCCCTCGCCGCGACGACGCAGCAGAGCCCGGAGCAGCTACACCCGTGCCCACAGGTCGCGGGGGCCCCGCCGATTGCGGACGCGCCCCCCGACGCTTTGGCTGCTGGCTCGGCGGGACCCGACGGTCTGCCTGGAGCCTGGGAGCCCCCAGAGGTGGTGCACGTCTTAGCGCCGGCCCTGGCCCTCCCGCCACCCGAAGCGCCTGAGGCGTCGACGGTGTGCATTATGGCGGCGAGAACACGTCGTTTGCGCAGAACCGACGCGGCTGAATCCACTAGAGATAGCCTCCTGTGGCAGGCCCCTTGTGGATTCCCCTACGGCGTCCGGTCGCACTACCGACTGTCGGCGGAACCGCCGTCGCCTGTCAAGTGCCTTAGGTGCTTCAAGCCCCAACCTCAGGCGCAACCTGAGCTGGAACCGACGGAAGAGATTGAATCCTCGTCGGTCCTTTCAGAGTCGTCTGACGCAGCTTCGTCGAGCTCTTCTTCGTCGTAAGAAACTTCCAGGGTGGAGCGCCGTGTGTCACGCAGTGTGTGTGTGTGTGTGTGTGTGTGTGTGTGTGTGTGTGTGTGTGTGTGTGTGTGTGTGTGTGTGTGTGTGTGTGTGTGTGTGTGTGTGTGTGTGGTGTGTGTGTGTGTGTGTGTGGTGTGTGTGTGTGTGTGTGTGTGTGTGTGTGTGTGTGTGTGTGTGTGTGTGTGTGTGTGTGTGTGTGTGTGTGTGTGTGTGTGTGTGTGTGTGTGTTGTGTGTGTGTGTGTGTGTGTGTGTGTGTGTGTGTGTGTGTGTGTGTGTGTGTGTGTGTGTGTGTGTGTGTGTGTGTGTGTGTGTGTGTGTGTGTGTGGTTGTGTGTGGTGTGTGTGTGTGTGTGTGTGTGTGTGTGTGTGTGTGTGTGTGTGTGTGTGTGTTGTGTGTGTGTGGTGTGTGTGTGTGTGTGTGTGTGTGTGTGTGTGTGTGTGTGGTGTGTGTGTGTGTGTGTGTGTTGTGTGTGTGTGTGTGTGTGTGTGTGTGTGTGTGTGTGTGTGTGTTGTGTGTGTGTGTGTGTTGGTGTGTGTGTGTGTGTTGGTGTTGGTGTGTGTGTGTGTGGGTGTTGGTGTGTGTGTGTGTGTGTGTGTGTGTGTGTGTGTGTGTGTGTGTGTGTGTGTGTGTGTGTGTGTGTGTGTGTGTGTGTGTGTGTGTGCATGCCCCTGCCCGCCCCCCCCCCGACGGAACCTGCCATGGGAGGTTCTTGGGCCGCCGTCGCTGTTGGACAGCACTTTGTTCCGTCGGCCCCCCTCCCTTACCCGCAGCCGCTTCGTCGATTGCACCATGGCTCCCATGGCGGCGATTCAGTCGGAGATGGACGGCGAGAGGACCCCGAGCAGCGGTCCCGACGAGGAGGAACCCATCGCCGGATCCGACGAGGGCATGCTCGGCGACGACTTCGCTGGTGAGTCGTCGGAGGAGTCGGAGGGCGGCGACTCCGACCCATCCCTCCTGGACCTCGACGACCTCCTCTCGTCCGCAGACGGAGGGCAGCGTCCAGGCATCAACGTCGGAGTCCCCGTGGCCGCACCTGCAGCCACCGGGGGCACGGCCGACGTCACAGCCGCCGCGGTCCGACGTGGAGGTGAGGTTGGCCTGGGCGTGCGCCCCTTTGCCGCCGGGCCCGGCGCCGTCGTCTGCAGCTGGCTTCGTGGGACGCGGGCCCTGCCCGCCGGCGGTGTCACCGGCGGCGGCGCTTGCGCTCCGCCATTGGTGGGAGCTCTCCGGGAGGACCGGACCGCCGATGGTACCGACGGCGCCGCCCAGGCCGCCGGGCTGCCTTCATCCAGAAGATCCTCGGCCCTTCTGCCCGCAGCCTTCGACGACGTCGATGTGGTCTCCGGACGCGCCGCTGGCGTCGCTGCGGGCCAGGTTTGGGGCGGACGGTCCGTCACCCCCGACGTGGTCGGCGATCCGTGGCATGTACCCGCCGGAGCTCCGTGACTGGATTGGCCGCCCGGCGATCGTCGAGCGGACCCCGTCGGGCCGCGTCGCCTTACCTGGCGGCGGATCCCAGGTGTTTGGCGTGCGGCCGCATGGCGACGGCGAACGCCCTGAGGGGGAGGCTGGAATGGCCCCCGTCGCCGGAGGTGCTCTGCCCCATGTTTTCCGTCGAGGGGGCGCTGAAAGCGCCGTCGCGTCGGTATTTTTGATT